AGCGTACAGACAAGTGAACACTGAGGTGAAGAGACCCCATGGTATGCCTGTACGGTACCGCGTGGACTCGGAGAGCACAACAAGAATCGAATGAAGAAGTTGCCAGCTGCATCGATGGTGTGATAACGGACGATGTCAGCTATTCAAGTATTCAGGTAAGGCAGGTAAATAGCAGGAGCGGAACGACGAAGTTACTACGATATTTTGTTTTCCCCCCAGTACATTGCATGGAAACTATCTGAAGGACTGCCTGAAATTCAAATGGCTATATTTTTTGAGTAGGATTTGTCGGAACCAAATTCTACCCGATCATCTGTAGGGAAGCTGCTTCTGTTAAACTGAACTGTTTTATAGCTTAAAGTTCTAATAAAGCGTGGTTCCGTTTAAAAGCAGGCCGCTAGAGACTCCTCAAAATACAGAGCTCTGATAATCTGCTTGTTGCTTTTCTGGTAAGCACATCTCCATATTGGATTAACTGGGAAAAGTTCCCCTAAAAAATGGGAAAAAGTCACTGAGCTGTACCAGTACAGTGAAAAAAAAAAACACAGAAATGGAGCAGTAAAAGTATACATGCTCTTGTGGCCTTTTTGCTTGACATTAATTTTTATGAATAAATTTGTTCCCAAGAAACTTTTACTTACTACTGCTAAATTTTTTATCTCTTTAACTAAGATTTTCCATTCGTTTTTTGATTTCTTCTTCAAAAAGGTAGAAATCAGATTCACAGGGGTACTAAAAAATTATCAAGGCAGATTTAGTAACAGAAATACTGCATTCTCAACATGACTGGAAGCTGGGGGATGTCATTAAAACGACAAATATGAAAATTAATTATATGACTATAAGTAGCGGTGTCGTAGTTAGACAGTTTAGATAGCAACCTTCTTCGTTCTCTATCGGTCGTTCCATCGTGAAGATCTCTAATCTGCGAAGGTTTGCCTTCGTAAACCGTTCCGGTTCCGAAACTGATCAGCGCCATATCACAGACTTAGCCTAGTTCAGCTGAGTGAACGTGCCGGCATCGTAGTCTAATTGTCATTTCACCGTTTAATCTCTATGCTGTTCTTGGCTACTCAATCGTGAATTTCTATGATATTGGTTCTTTTCCTGGGCAGCAACGCGATTTCGCTTATTAATGAATGGCGATTGCAAGATATGCAATGAAAATGGTTCAGTCCGCGTGCACACTGATTTCAAAATGAAAAGAAGAGACTCAGGATATAAGAATGTTGAAATTTTTCGGCCAGAGTTCCGATAATAACGGAGAATCCACGATAACAATGTTCTTAGTGTAACACCAGTCCAAAGTTATCATCAATTTTCATGGTAGGCCAGGATGAAAACGGAATCTGATTCAAACTTGATGTGCTTTAATGCTGGCTTGGTTATATCTGCCATTTTCGTGCCCAGGAAAACTGCTGGGTCCAAGAAAACTTGAGGGGAAATTTCTGAGCATGGTGTATAGCAAGAATAGCGTTAAAACAGTAATCAGTTTTTCAGGATTTTAATTAAAGTAATTAAACTTTATGGTGCTCAAATTTGGATCAGTTATATAAGCTGATCACTTGTTCAGTTTTTCCCAGCAGCCCGTTGGCCATAAATTCACTTGAGCAAAAAAAATAGCTTGATACTCAAGTATTTCAGTCAGTAGTTACAGTTTACAGCGCCGTTCTCTAGCTGTACGGGTGGTAAATTGTTTAACTGCTTAGATCAGCTCAGAATTGCTTATTAATCAGCTTACAGGCAGTCTTTTGGTTCATTTCGTTTGTTGAGAGAAACACTATTTCTCGATATAGATACTTTTGGAAAGCTTTAGCCGTTTCGAGGTGTCCTTGGTTTGTGTGAATATTATAGCCTTGAGTTGAATACTGTCGCTTCTAAGTGAGTTACCATATCGACTAGAAGAAAAAAATTATTATTTGAAAATGATTATTATTAGTTAAGTAACACTTATGTCACAGTGGTGTAGGCCAGTTGGGCTCTTCGTCATTACCTGTGGACAGTAGTGTGAACCAGATTGACAGCTGCCGCTACATAGCCTGGTTTACATTCTGCCTAGCTGAAATGGGTAGAAAGGATAGCTTGATACTCAAATATTTCAGTCAGTTATAATTTATAGCGCCATTCTATAGCTGTACGGGTATAACTTGTTTGATTGCCCAAATCAGCTCAGAATCGCTTATTAATCAGCTTGGCGGTAGTCTTTTGGTTCTTTCATCTGTTGAGAGGTACGGAAAACTTGAGACTGCCGAGTTGGGCTCAGCCAAATGTGTAGAAAATTAATATTGTGCTGCAAGTGAAAGAGGACCCGGCGCAAGTGCCCGAGAATGTGAGTGTAATTCGCAATACTGAAAATCTGTGGTAAAACTTCACTGCATTCAGGTATGCAAGAGTTCCGAGCTCGATTACCGCCACGGCCACCGCCACGACGCCATCCCCGGGTTCACTTTAATCTCGGACGTATACAGCCGGAGCATCTGCATCCGCCACTACGACCTGTACCTGAAGATCCGACACGCGATGCGATTATGAAGCAAATCGTTGGTACGTAATAAACATCATTCCAGTAGCGCCGCGGAATGCAAAATTTATTGCTATTTTTGAAATTAATAAAACGTAGCTACATTTCTATAAGTAATTGTCCAAAAGAAAAATAGAATGTGACTAGCATGATCCAAGGATCTTTCATTCCAAGAGCGGAATACATCCAGCCCCAGCAGAATTGAAAGAGCAGAATTTAAAATCCGATGGAAAAAGAAGTGATAATCGAACTGGAGGCATGCAAATTTCGCACGACTAGGAAGAATCGTCACAAAAATAAAATAATACTTTAGTATCACCAGCCCAAGGGAAGAATTAATGGAGACTTCATCAAATGCGTTACCAGAAATTGTGTTTTTTTTATTCATTTTCGTTGAAAAGTGGAAAAAAATCAAAGTGCTACTGCACTGTCATTTCTCGATTTTTGTGTCAGACAGGTGGTCTGAACAATCATCGCGTTTGATGGTCTCTTATAATCAGTGTCTGTAGCAAAAGTTTATAATAAGCTAGAAATTTATCTGAAAAAAAAACTTTAGAGAGACTACAGGCAGCAATTTTAACATAACACACTAAAAAGACTCGAAAAATTTCCAGGCAAATAAGCCCAGAAAGAGTTACACAGTTGGTAAAACCATAACTACAGGCGTTAATTTTTCGTGAAACAGGGACAAAATCTGAGAAGCATACTTTGCAGAGCGTATCAATGCGGCCGAAAAGGAACTGTCGTGCAATAAGAGCGAAACAAAGGAAAAAGTTACTGTATGTGATAAATTTCGCTCATTAATAGTTCGCCAATAAGTGAAAGGGAGAAGATTGGACAAATTTTAAATTTTCAAATTTTCCTCAACAGCCAGATTAATAGCAACGAAAAGTCAGTAGCTTCTTGGTTCTTTTAAAAAAGGGGTCCCGAAGGTACCAGATTCATAGCGCTTGGCCAATAGAAATCATTTGTTAGCAAGGTCATCGATGGTTTCCACTCCCGGATATTTTTCAAGCTAAAGACATTTCAGACTCTTGCTTGCTTAAAACATCAGTGTTGTAGAAATTTGTCTGAATGCACAGGTCAACAAAAAACTGTTTTTCTCAAGCGCAAATTTCAGTTACCGACTGCATCTTGTGTGCAAATGCCGTACATGGGGTCCAAAATAAAGAATGAAAACATCCCGTAGTAGTGACTCGCAGATTAATTTCCCCATGATATTATTTGCAAAATAATTTCATTCACTTTGCAAAATAATTTCAGTCATTTGACCCCTTGGTTCAAAAAAATTGAGACCAGTAGCTCCTGTATTCATCAAGATCACAGGGCTAGACATTGCGCGGCGCAGGGTTGTGTTCTGGTAAACTGGGCAGTAGTATGACTCAACAGCTGTAAATACGAAGCAATATTCTTTAATGAAATAAAAAGTAAAGGAGCCGCCAGGATTTTAATTTGCTAATAATGTGGATTAAAGATGAAGCCGGATTCGATCACTGACGCACGAATTGAGCACGAGAAACAGGTTCTGAATGATCTCGAGAGATACTTCGAAAGTGTAGAGAATAACCGTCCGGACAAAAGCTACTGGGAAGGGGTACTGATTTATCGTGATTCTTATTATTAAGTGCTCTTGACTTTGAAAAACAGGTAACAAAATCCTAATTTTGTTGCTGCTGAAATGAATTTAGCGTTATTGAGTTCATGCTTTCATTTTTATGCGTTTTTTGCAGCTATGCAATGCAGAAAACGCATATTGACGAGAGATTGTCTGTGTGTGTGTGTGTGTGCCTGTGTGTTCGTCTGTGCCGATTTTTCATCTCAAGACCGGCAAAAGCTACGGGGCTGAAACTTTGGGGACATAATCTACATGCATGTAAGGGCCCCTATCCTCAAAATTGGTGCCAAAACCCGCGTGGAACCCGCGTATGAGCCCGCCAAAATTTTTTTCGGGTAAGTTCATAACTCGGGGATCTGAGAAGCTAG